TACTCCCAAATATGGATTAGAGATTGGTTTCGGAAATGTGTGGGCTTTTTGCTATCATTGGGCTTGGATTGGTTTTAATATTTTAAGTCAAGATTTTAGGTTTAGATGATGGCCTAGTACAATTTTCTTACATAAACAATTGCCCAACTTTCAAACATCTACGAGTGATTGATTTAAGGGGGATGACTTATGTAAAATTATATGTCTTTTGGGCTAAAAGTAAAATTATATGTTGGACATGATTGTCAAAATAATTTTTTTAGGAATTATTGAGTTTTAGTTGGAAAATAGCTACCTGAGGAACTTTTTTATCGAACTGAGTATTTTAATCATTTAAAAAATTTAAACAAATGTGTGTGTTATTCAATCAGTAATTTTAAGATCTTTGTCGAAAGAGGAGTTATTTAAGCTATGATTTAGGATCCTAAACAAAATATGTTGTTTGACCAAAAAGAAACAAAAATATGTTATTCAATTAATGATTCAGAAATACAAATTATAGATTTTTGAAAAGAAACTCATCTTTACTTTGTTAGTCAAAAATATAAAGAGCTTAATCCTAGATATATCCTCGTTATTTTGAAATCTGTATTGAAATCATATAAATTCATATTGATTAAATAATATATTAAGGTTCTATCAAAAACACAAACATTAAAAAATAATAAAACATCCATCCGTTTCTTATTATAGATGTTTTGCTTAAAAACACAAACATTAAGAAATAACTTAATCTATCAAAAAGTAAAATTTAATATATAAATTAAAACAATCCAGTTAATTATAAAAAATACTGCAAAAGATTATTGGTCACACGGTTATCAATAAAATTAAAAAAATACCTAAAAATATGAGAACATTTTACAATGTAAAACAAAAAAAACTTCCAAAACATCCTATAATAAAAAACGGAAGGAATATATTTTAACACCAAATCGATATGGATTTCAATTTACAAACCTTGAACCCTCCGAAATATATCGTTTACTTTATTATCAAATGTGGTATAAGCGATACAAAACACTTGTAAACAATTCATAATGGTTGGCTAAACATGTAGTCTAGTCTAATGTTTTACCAAAAAAAAAAAACATGTAGTCTAATGTTTATGACAGTACAATCGTTGTGTCACTATCCAGATTTAACAATTTTTTTTCTTTCTAATAATGATTTCCTTACAAAAGATATTATGCAGAGACAAAACTAAACGTATACAGTTTCATTTCATACCAATGAACCCATTCGGCCCAATTAAAATCACAATGCCTTCTTCTTCTTTTTCTCGACTAGTCATTAATAAATCTTACATCTTCATGTTTTTATACTTCTTCGGTTCCTCCGAACAAAACAAATCCCATTCGGGATCTTCCAAACACAAAGGAAACAAAATTTGGCAATTAATGAAACTGATGTAATGAACTGAAACTGAATACATTTGTTTTAGTTATAAATAATGTCAATAATAAAACACTGCAGGGAGATGAACAAGAAGCACCAGTGGTCTAGTGGTAGAATAGTACCCTGCCACGGTACAGACCCGGGTTCGATTCCCGGCTGGTGCATATATTATTTTTACATACAATTTGTTTTCTTTTTAATCGAAGTTTAACTGTAGTTTTTAAGGTCAACAACAATGTTATCATTCGCTATCAAGTTTATGTACTTGAAATGCTTAATAGAAGATCTGAACTCAATTAAGATTAATCACAGTCAAGTCAATGATTACCAACAAAATGAACCACCTCCATCTCTTCCTCCTTTTCCTCTCCGCCACTTCTGCCGTCACCGCAAGACAACCAGAGAAACCTCAAGCATTAATCCAAACGGTGATCAAAGACCCAATCACAAATCTCTACTACACAACAATCGACATAGGAACCAACATCACCGTCTCCCCCAATCGATTTCGATTCCTCTAAATGCAAACTTCTCAACCTCACAAATCCTTACAATGTACCCAAACCAGGTCACATCTTCTTATAAGTTATAACCCGATCCAACTTTAGAAAACAGAGGATTTGTTTAAAAAAATCCAAACTTTTTTTCTACAGATTGGTGGGTCTGCTCCGGCGTCGAAGAAGATGGTCGAAGCAGAGACGGTGGTGTCTCCTTTCGAGGTATCTTATAGATTGAAGAAGAGCTTTCGAGTAGAAGATGTTCCGGTGATTGATCTGACGGTGGGGAGTGGTGGTCGGAGATGGAGAATCTACGGCTGGAATTCGATGATGGTTGTGAAGGAAGGCGTGATGTGTTTGGCTTTTGTGAAAGGAGAAGAGATGGTGATTGGAGGGTATCAAATGGAGGATAATTTGGTGGAGATTGATCTTCGATTATCGAAACTTAGTTTCACTTCTTCTCTTCTTCGATATAAAACTTCTTGTTCTCATTTTAGACCACTCGATCGATTATCATTTCCCGATTTTGCTAGTCCAATTATTTGATTTTCTTCCTCAACAAATGTAATGAGTTCATTGTTAAATTGTTGTGCCTCTTGAATCTGCATGAGAAGAAAACTAAGGGCCAAGTTGATGGACTTTGCAAATCTAATACAAGCCCAAATTACAAGTTGATCATGGACGATTTTTTTTTTTTTTTGCTAAATAAAAAAAACTTTAAAATCATGGACGATTTTTTTTTGAATGAAATTATTTATGATGACATTGTGTGATATTTAAGCCTAGTCTGCTAGTCACTTATATAAACACATGCTTTTACGGTACTTTGCTCTTTGGTTGAAAAATTTATCAAATCATAGTGTACAATGTTATTTTTTTTCTTTTCGTTATTATGATCTACTAGATTGTCAATATGTACGTAAAGATGCTACAAAAACATGGGGTTGATTACATTCACAGACACTTTTTGTATTTTTTTATTTTAAGGAAGACACTTTGATTTTCTAGACACATTTTCTTTGTTTTTGATACAAAATGTGATAAAAATATCCCTCCAAACACGCGCGTGGATAACTTTTCTGTGGACAAGTCAAAAACAATAATGCGCATGAACATAAATTGGTGGATTAAAACAATTGACATATAATTAAAAAGTAATCGTGGACATGCTATTGTGGACACGATAATAGTTTATGAGATTGTTATAAATAACTTATCCACAAATATTATAATTATTCATTTTAACTACTTACCTATAATAACATGTACACAATCCTCTATCCACAAGATTAGGTAATAAAAATTGTAAGAATTTACAAAATTAACAAATAATTACAATTATGTATTTTAATTACATAGTCATTTATGATATCATGTCCATAATAATTTATCTATGGATTAATAGTTGGGACTTGGGAAACACATAGTCGTCTATAATAACATTTTTATACATGTTCATAATAGACAGATCAAGAATAACAAGCAAATTCAAAATTTGGTCATAATTTCATGGACATGTTATTGATTTTGATTTATAAACCATTATTTAATAATATAACTTTTTGTCTGCGAAATGTTGACCACAACAATATATGCAATCAATTTGTTTGTTTGGAGAATCTTGAAAGTTTCGTCGCTCAGAGAAGATGACCCATTTGTTCTTCTTTTCACCATTAACTGGAAAATTGAATAAGATTCTTGAAAAAAAAAATTTTCGGAACAAAAAATCCTAATCAGTCTTTAAAGCAGAATTACTTATATCTTTGAAATCTGGAGAGAGATAGACATGGAGAAAAGCCGAAAGCAATGTGTAGAAAAAAAAATGTAAAGAAGAGAG